GGCATAATTGTGTATCCCATCAGAATGGACGAAGTCCAACGTACTTATTTGACCTAATACGTTGTGCCAACTTGCTGTGACATGAAGGCTCTACAGCGTAAGCTCCGTATACCTTGTGAGCGGCACGGACATCACACTTCTATTGCGTAATTTAATAGTATCATGCCGTGGTTATGGTGCATCATACATTATCATTCATTTGCACTGCCATAACCAACAACGCAAGACTTGTGGCGCATGGTCGATAGTTAAAAAATCCTTGTCAAATTAGAACAAGTGATCAGCGGCGTCTTTGTGGATATAATGATAACAATCCGTAGAATTCTCTACGTTGCCACTTGCTCATGTTTTAAAGCAGGACCACATTATAGTATGAAGTCCCTCCAATAAAAATACCTGTGACCTCCTTTGTTCACACTTTTACTGAAAAAGATGTGTTGCGTTCACCTGTCATAGTCACACTCTGACGTTCCATTAAGAACATATACTTATTTTGTAGGCTGAAAGCAACTCTTGACGAGTCTCGAAGCATGCAGTTCGCTTTATTCTATTGCACACAAGTGCGTGTTCAGAGCAATGTAGGAAATAACATCCTGTCAAAGGTCTCATTTAATCTGTTTTATTAGTTATCATAATTCTCCTGCTAAATTCATTGCGTATAGTCATCTTGTCACGTGCTAGCCTAATTTTTGACGTAAATTTTAAGGTTGAACGCAAGTGGCGATGATATGACAGTATCTGTGCCGCACTTACGGTCTCGTTCGGCCACGCGGCGTTTTAGGTTACCACCGAGAGTCTTTCGGAGGGGGAGGATCAAGGGCCTCTAGAGCAGCACCCGGTGTCAAGTGTTGTGGTGCCAGGGCGTCTTTTATTTGATCCATAGTTCGCTAGAGTAGAGGATGCCTCGTCAAAACACCCTCTTGACATTTGTTCCTGCGCACATCCCTCGAGAGAGAGAGTTTAGGCTTAGAGGCGCAACAGGTCCTACCAGCAATGCGGTTACTTGTCGGTCGCATTCAATTTGCATTTATTTTGAAGCATAATTCTAAAAATTGAGCCATGATTTTTTCTTTTTGCTGTCATTCTATTTCTACGACTATGTCCCCAATTCCTGTTTTAGATACCATAAGTAGTCATCTCACTATTTTGTTTACATATATCAAAAGTGGATTCCGGCTGATATTTTTGAACCTATTTTCTATCCTCGATAATGATGTGCCTTTAGTTTGGCTTCATTGAATCAAATTTGACACAGTGTTGATTGAGCCATTAGTGTTACTTCCTTGCAGATCTCGGCTCTCAATTATTTCTCTTTACAGATATTTGAAATATTCCAATGAATTGTACTAACGATTTTAGTGAGAGATGAACAAGTGATAGTAGACATGCATTCCAGCCGTGCTCAAACGCTTCTTGTGAGATAAAATTTACAACCATATATTTGTGACAAATGAGAAATGTATGTAAAAAATATTCAATTTGTGAAATAATGATAGAATTTGCGGCAGGTATACTGCAATAAAGAAGCGAAATATTATACTTGTTGAGTGTAACAAACGAGACGCAAGTTCTTTTATATTACTAATGATCTCGGATATGTTTATTGAAGTTGAGTGCCAGTAGATAACTGTGGCGCATTACGGTTCCGCTCACGTGATGTCGAAAACATGCGGTGTACGAGCCACGTTGTTCCAGTTGCCTTCAGTGCGTCCAAAGGACGAGGTTGCCAGAAGCAACTCGTGTCCCAGACGTGACTGCGCAAGCCTAAACTCTTGTAGCGACGTCGTTGCTCTCGGGTCAAAACAGGTCGCCATGAGTGAAATTACCTGTGAGATCATCAACGCAGATCTTTCTGTGGAGAAACACGAGCCTTTTCCTTTGACCGACGAAAACTCTCCCACTCTTGTAAAACTTGCGAAACATTCACCACGAGAGAACTTGTCTTTTGGGTTCACCTCAGATATTAGTGCTGGTTCCTTGGACGTTGTTCAGGCGCCCAGCTGCATCTCGTATGACCCTTACTGTTGTTCCATGGCTAACCCTCATAACACGCATCACTGCGTTACAGCTTATGTCAGCCCCAACGACTTCGGCGCCTATCCCCGCCAGGGAGAACAACTCCCCTCAATACCTTGCCTCGTCCAACACAACTCACCTGCGTGTCTGCATCCCCTCCAGCCTTCCCCCTCTAGTACCATGGATTACCAACCTCACTTGTCCCCGCAGTCATCGCACTACTCGGCATCTCCCTTCCAAAGCCCCACGAACTCTGCCACCATCTCGCCGCCCTCAAATCCTGCGCGCGAACACCTCGAGAGTTGTGATCAGTCGCCGCAACTGAGCTCCTTCCCGTACCTCAGTATGGGCATCATCCCTCCTCTTGAGCCGCGTTCTGACGTCGGTAACATGGACGAGTGGCTCGACAAGTGGCCCGGTAAATAGTCTATTCGTATACGACTATACGCCTTCTTACTTATACTGCGCCAAGCTCTCCGCCAGAATTTTTTTTCTAAAGTATACTTATCTGAAACATTTTATGCAGGTATTGCGTGCTTTTATTTGTTGAGGACTAAATACGGTAAAATCGCAAATTGAAGTACGCTAAGTCTACGGAATAACATCCAAATATTTAAGTTACTATAGTATTCATCTACGGCATGTAAGAAGTCTATTACGGGATGCCTGATTCGAGCTGTATTAATCCTGTTATATATGTTATATAAGCAGTGAGATATATTATACATATTTACTTGTTGCATTACTTATTGCAATGCCAGTGAACTGAAAGATTCGAATCGAAATAGAAGGTTACTTGGATATGGGACTTGGAATTCTCGACATGAAAATTTTACAATTGAGATTTTTTATTTTTATATACTTTTTACATTTTTATTTTTGAATTAATAAGTAATTTCGTACTATTTTATTATAGAATTTGATTTTTGTTTGTATTCCTGTGTTACAATTACACATTTTATGTTACAATTCATTTTCCTGCAATTAAATGAATAACCTTTTAAACTGTAAGCTTGCGTGCTCAGCTGCACACTTTNATGATATTACACAGTTCTGAGTCCCACGTCGTGAGCTTATTTATATACTCGTGCATTCTGCAGATCTCTCCTTGGGATCTCTTTGATATAGCGCGTTAGTTTAGGAGCGTGAGACGTGCATGTGTTTGGTGCAGCTGCTGAGGCGATCATGAATCATTACGCCGTAGATTTTTTATTCCCTTGCATGGGTGTTTGTTGTTTAACATAAGAGCCTGTTTGTCGATGCTCACTCAATTGGCGCTATTGAAAAGCTTCTTTGCCCCCTGCGTTGCCGGGTCAACCCTGAATATCTGCCCCTGTGCTGTGGCCTCCCTCTCTTCCTTTGGCCTCAATCACTTCGCTTTAGCCTCTTTCCTTTCGCTTTGGCCTCTTTCCTTTCGCTTTGGCCTCTTTCCCTTCGCTTTGGCCTCTTTCCCTTCATTTTGGCTTCTTTTCTTCGCGCTGGCCTCTTTCCCTTCGTTCAGGCCTAGGCCTCTTTCCCTTCATTTTGGCCTCTTTCCCTTCGCTTTGGCCTCTCTCCCTTCGCTTTGGCCTCTTTCCCTTCGCGCTGGCCTCTTTCCCTTCATTTTGGCTTCTTCTCTTCGCTTTGGCCTCCTTCCCTTCCCTTGGCCTCCCTCCTTCGCTTTGACCTCTTCCCTTTCACTTTGGCCTCTTTCCTTTCGCATTGGCCTCCCTAATTCTGTTATTGCATACTCCGCTCTATTGCTCCCTCCTTGTTGTGTTGCTCCCTCCTTGTTGTGNTTCTCTCCCTTCCTTCTCTCCCTTCCTTCTCTCCCTTCCTTCTCTCCCTTCCTTCTCTCCCTTCCTTCTCTCCCTTCCTTCTCTCCCTTCTTTCTCTCCCTTCCTTCTCTCCCTTCCTTCTCTCCCTTCTTTCTCTCCCTTCCTTCTCTCCCTCCCTCAATACTTCGTGCTGTATTGCACTGCTTCCCATACCTGTTCCTTCCTCTATCCCTGGTCCATCGCCAGCTTATTACTTCCGCATTTTGTCTTACTATCACATTTATTTGCGCCCTCGTGTTGATTCATGCTTCGTGCACATCTGATGAAACCCTTCAATATGCATAATGCCTTATCAACCAATTAGAAAAAAATTCTTAGAAATCTACCACGACGACTCTCTTGTTTTTCAAGGATTTTTCTCTCGCATTGACTGCTAATTCAATTTCGCATGAATTTTTCCAACGTTATGCTTGCGTGATGGTAAGTAAATATTATAGGTATTCCAAATATTTTGGTGTTGAATGTAGTTCTTGTGATGCCAGTCAACTCTCCTCCTCTTGAGTGTTAGGTACAAGGATCTCTGAAGTAAGTTTTATTTTACATGTGAAATCGTTGACCTGTAAGTAAAACATTGCCACGGTCACTTCAATCTTCAATGTTATTGCTGGATTTTATGTAATGTACAATTTTTTTAGTAAAAAATAAAATCTCTCTACTTAATCTTTTTACTATGTTTTTATGGAAAATGTATTTTTTATCTTCTTGAAAACTTTCTTCCGTCTTTTCATGAAATGTTTAGTTATATACTTAGGAAAACAAATTGTCAATTCATTTAGATAGTAACTTTGCTTTACCCACAGCACGAGCGGAGAGCGAACTTGATAAACCGTTTTGCCGAGCCAAGCTGGTAAAAAAATAGCTGGTACCCACACATGGTAAAAAATATACTTCGTTCTTTGGACGAAGTTCTGCTCGTTGTGGGTAATGCATTAATAATCTTCCCCACACGGGCAAAATGTGCATCGTTCTTTGGACAAAGTTTTGCTCGTTGTGGGTAATACACTAATAACCTTGCCCACACGGGCGAAATGTGCATCGTTCTTTGGACAAAGTTTTGCTAGTTGTGGTTAATACACTAATAACCTTCCCCCCTCGGGTAAAATGTGCATCATTTCTTGGACCAAGTCTCGGTATTTCCATGAGTGGTAACTCTGTACTATTTTCCAGTGTCGGAGGCTGACGCGGGCAGCGAGCTGGACGGCGCTGGCGTGCCGTCCACCATCATCACGGCCACCACCGTCCCTCACTCTTATGATGAGTACGTCCACGCCCTGCATCTCCCGCCCCCACAGTCCCCTCATCTCCTTCATCCTCTTCCTTCCCTCTCTTCCCCTCGCATCTCTACTACTCCTCCCCACCACCATCACCACCACCACCACTCACTTCATACGTCGCTACAATGTGCTGGTGTTGATACTAATAGTAGTGGTGACGGTGGTGGTGGTGGTGGAAGGACATCACCTTCACCCTGTTCTTCGCACGGTACTTTAGCATCAGCAGCACTGCAGCACCACCACCACCATCACCACAATCATCTCGCACAGCATCACGACTCGAGCGTCTCTGCGAGCTCTGCAACAGCCGCCGCGCAACACGATCTCTTTGGCTCCGCTGGCCAGATGTAAACATGAGTCCTATCGCTGTCTCTGTGTGGGCATTTGTCTCGTATCGCTGCCTCTGTATCGTTATCTGTGTCTCATTGCCCGTCCGTGCTCGCAAAACATTCATTTTCGCTCAAGTTATCATAGTGACGTAGAGTAACGACAACCGTACCGGTAGTCAAGTTTCAAAACAGCATCAGAAACTAGCGACAATTATCGTATGGAGACAGATAAATTGTTCTTTTGTTCACCCGACGAGTTTTAAAACTTATATTTGAAATTATTAATGAAAAGTTCACGTCTTTCCTTTTAGCTGCTCTGAAACCTATCGACGCAGGTTGTTTAACACGTTTGTTCATGCGTTGGATTTGAGTTCCGGGAACTAAAAATGCACCAGCGTTGATGAGCGATTCAATCAACGTTGTCACGATGCATGCAATCTTCTATCAAGATCATTTCTCTGATTTCAGTTAAATCACATAATGAATACATAGGAACACGCAACACAATTTTCTGGAAGTCGTGGAAAACAATTGTTCTAATGTTTTCCACGACTAAGTTGGCAACTATGAAATAGTTGCCAACTAAGTTGGCAACTAAAATTTGGCAACTATGACAAGTGCTACAGACATCTTGAACAATTTGATAACGAGAAGGGTGCCAGACAAGACGTCCTATCAATTCTAGCAACTTATCACGGCCCACATGGGCAAGTTCCACATGCAATGTGGAACTTGCATGTGGAACTTTTAGTCTGCCGGCACGGACGGGCATGCCAGCTTCTCAAAGTTACGGAAAAGGCCGTTCATTGTTCATAAATAAGACCCGAGTGTGGCTGAACGTGTTTGATGTTCAATGTTCATAAGCGTTCAATGTTCTTAAACTTCCGAGCGTTGGAGAACATGTGTCCGTTCTTCCTAAATAATAACCGTCAGTGAATCTTGTGATTGGTGTTCAATGTTAGTATAGTGCCATGCGTTGGAAAAACGTTCATAAATAAAATCGGTTGGAAGGAACGGATGTTCAATGTTGATACCCAGTGTACGGACAACGTATGTTAAAAGCGAGCGCATGTTTGTCGTGTCACCAGTATCTCGGGTATAATTGACTTCGAGATCTGAGGCCGTACAATCAAAACTCGCTTAAGTTCACATAACTGCCAAAGTGCACGGAACAGCCGATTTCTCGTCTGTGATTGGTGGGTTTATCTTTAAACGCCGTCAGAGATTGGCTGACGAATGTAAACAAACTCTTGGGCAATTTTGTCGGTGCGCCGCCTGGGACTTGTCTCACCTGACCAAGTCTTCAGGACATGTTTCATGTCTCAAGTTTTCGTTCCTTGAAATTATCGAAAATATATGGACAAGAAAATTATGTAACAGCTTCTTGGAAGAAAAAGAACCTTCCTGTATCCCTAAGACTGTTCGATTAAAAAATTAATGGATGAAAATTTTGCCCGAGAACTTGTTGTGGCACGAGTAGCGGGCTCTCTGTTACGGTGCAGAAGTTTTTTTTATAGACCTAAGCCTCTGTAAGAAGTGCCGATGCATGGTTTCTATAGTCCAGTGGTTCCCAAACTTTTACAGGCTGGCGCCCCCCTTGGCTCCCCAGTGAATCTCTAGCGCCCCCCTGCAAACACACACATATAAAAACAAACGCCTCTTTCTTGATATTTAGTATGCTAAAATTTTGAAAGAGAAAGGTTAAACACAGATCTTTCCAGAGGCCCCCAAAGATCTTTCTACCGCCCCGAGGGGGAGCGATATTGCCCACTTGGGGAACCACTGCTACAGTCCTACCGAGGGCACAGACTGATTTGCACATCTTAGCGGACGACCACATTCTCAGGCCAGATTCTAGAATTCGGTTACATACTCGTACGTCATTGAACTGCGAGGAGCGTAAGTCCCGGGTCCACGATTGCCGTTTCATCCAAAACTTGAATGTTGCGTGCATTTTGCTTTTGTGGTTGAGCCTATTCTTAATTATTTTTTGGCATTCTCGGGTTAGTATGCCGAGTGTAGCACAATATTTACTAATGTTCTTGTATTTTAATTTTGTTGTTCAGTTTCGACGAGCATTTTAAAAACAGTAGGAATTATGAATTAAACAAACATTTCGTGATTTACTGGTGCAAAAAAATACGACACTTTGGATCGAGAAATTTTGAGACTTGTAATGTCTTTTGAACAAACATTCAAATCTTCGTATCTCCGCATCGTTGCTCTGTTATTTTACTGCTAATTTTTACTCTTTAAATCGACTAGATTATCTTGGAGAAGCAAAGTTATCCAAGTTATCATTCCCATTCTATCATTCTAATAAACTAAATAAGAACGACCTAATATGCTTTGGCCCAGTGACCTCTTGATACTTCGGGGTTTGGGGTTCGGTTTGTGTTGCGGTTCGCTGGGTTTCAGCTGCGATGAGTTCGTTCCGTTGCATGCTGAATGTTTCAATGTTATGTGTTGGAATCTTCAGAAAACCAGGTCTCTTTTTAGCGCATTTTCTCATTTATGGAAAAATGCACTATTGTGCTCGCCATGTCTGTCTGTCTGTCCGTCCGTCTGTGACTTAACACGTTTTCGTCGACGAGAAAATGCGCTCTCTGTCACTCACTGCAGTGAGTACTGAGTTATATTTTTTCAATGATGTCTCCTAGCCTTGGCCTCTAAAAGTTCTGGCTTCGGTTGTCAATACAGTTAATTTCTGATTTAGCCCTTTGTTTATCACCAAAGAAAATATTGGATATCGGGATTCGATGTCTGATTTTTTAATTATTTATCTGAAAAAGATGTCTCAAGTCAGTAAAGTTTTACTTATGATAAGATTCAGTATTGAAGCAAATTCTCCATTCTCTGTATTTTCATGCATAGATTTTATTGATGGTGTTGCAAGTCAGTAAAGTTTTACTCGTAATAAAATTCAGCATTGTAACAAATGCTCGATTTTGTTGTATTTTCATGCATAGATTTTATTGGGGTTGATGCAGGCAATGTGGAAGTAATAGCAGAATTGCGTGTGTTAATTACGCCTTCTAAGAACTTGGTGAAATTGCTTGAATTGACTTAATGCTGACTGATAGACGCGCTGCAGCGGCCGTTGAGCGGTGGCCGAGTACGGTCGTTTCACCTACCATCTATATTTATTCATTGTATATATATAGGTATTCGTTTCACCTACCAGATTATATTCATCATATATATTCTTTTCACCTAATATATATATTCATTTTATCTATTCGTTTCACGTACCGTAACAGATTATATTCATTTAAGCGCGAAATCATTAGGTTCTCTTCTGTTTTGGTGGAAGTTACGTCAAATCAAATGTCGACGTTACTTTGTATCTATTGCTTTAATTCATTTTCCTATGAATTAAACATGGCTGTTCTCTCATCTTATTTAATTGAATAAGACATCAAGACTCTAGACAATGCACATGTTCAGTAGAGCCTTGGAAGTAATTAAGCCTCAAAAAACTTTTAAAAGGGAAATTTGAGCTGTGGGCAACTGATTCGAAAGATTGATTTATCACACTGATAAATCAAATTTAATCCATAACTAATTCAACTTATTTGTTGCCGTTGTGATGCTTCTTAACGCAGGATCATATTGAGAGTGTTGTAGCGTGTGTTCCAAGTTTGTTATAGCCTACCATATTTCACCGAACTACTTACAAGATCATCACAAACTATTTCTATTTATTTATATTATTATATTATAATTTGCATAAATATTCCTTTTACAAAAAAGAGAGCAAAATATGTAAAATTCACATTAGGCATTCTCTTTGTGGAAGCGATACATTAACATAAGTTAATCATTATGCGCGCTGCATGGCTCTCTCTGCTCGACATAAGTTTAACTGAGGCATGTTTCATGTAACCGTCAACTGTGAATGCATCCACGGCGC